GGATGGGATGGTATTTTTGACAAGTAGGGCACTTGGGGGTCTTTAGGTCATTGATACACCCTTGAGGGTTTGTACACTCCTGGCTTCCTCATTTTCACTTTGCTTTCTGGCCACGAGGCAAACAGTGTTCCCTCACTATCTGTGCCTGCTGTGATGTGCTGCTTCCAGACAGGTCTAAAGCAACAGGAACAACTAACTAACCAGAGGAGGGAACCTCTGAAACCATGAGCCCAGATAAGCTGTTTGATTTACATGTTGATTATCTCAAAGAATTTGTTTGGTAAGATGAGTGGCGCGTGGCCCATCCAGTGCATCACAGGTGAGTTGAACAGTGTGGAATTGTCAGGTTGCAGTCAGGCATGGTACCAAGGACATAAGCATAAGGATCATGAGTTACAAGGGCAAGGAGTCTCTTGTTCAGTACAGTCAGATATTTGCCTCTCAACCCAAGTGATCTGCGGTTGAGTTCCGTGCCCTGAGTTGCATAGTCAGCATAGGAAGTGAGATGCTAACCCTAGAACAGTATGCCATAGCAATACAACTAGGAGAAAAACTGAGGTCATCCTCAAAACCCCAGATGTTGTCCATTGAAAGTACCACTCGCTCTTAGCTGCACAAGAGGGGACCGAAGTCATAGTAATCACTCAGTGAGCACTTCCACGTGGCCAGCCGCATGGAGACTGTGTTAATGCTTCTGGGAAACCAAGTCATATGACTGCAGGCAATAGAGACTCCCCAAGAAGAAGCATCTGTGGGTAGTTATGTACACTCATTTTGAGGTATCTCAGAGAGTCCACATCTTCTCTTCAATTCTGATTTCCACCCGTGACCCAGAGAGGCCAAATGGCTTGGTCATAGCAGAGCAACCGTATTTTCAAATAGTGTTCCTTTGATTCCAAGTCTAGAGACTGCTGCATTAGCCAGCGTACAAAGCACCAGATGGCAGGAATCCAGTCAGGGAGCTAGACATGAGCTAAGGGAGGAAGGCTTCTAAATGAAAAGCAAGGAGCTCTGGAGAAAGTAGAAAAGTGGAATGAGAAGAGAAAGCATTACAGTGAGATGGTAAGACTGTAGGTAAGAAAGAGGCAGGATAGGCTCACTTTTGACCACCTTTCTCCATATTCCAAATGCATGAGGGTCAATAAGAGCATCAACATGTGCCTTTAGAATGATAGCTATTATATTAGTCAGGGTTCTCTAAAGGAATAAAGTGTGTGTGTGTGTGTGTATGTGTGTGTGTGTGTGTGTGTGTGTGTGTGAAAATGTGTGCACATACATGTATATTATGTATATATCATGTATATATACACTATATAAGTGTATGCACATACATGCATATTATATATCTATGTATGTAGATTTTATATATTTTATACATATTCCCCCCCACACACACATATATATATATGGAAATCTATTAGAGTGGCTTATAAGCAGTACTTCAGCTCATGTAACAATGTCTGTCTACCAATGGGAAGTCCAAAAATCCAGGAGTTGTTCAACCCATGAGGCTGCATGTCTCAGCTGTTCTTCAGGATATGCCTGAATCCCAAATAAGCAGGCTCTAATCCCACTAAAGGAATGGCCAGTGAGAGCAAGAGGCAAGCAGGCAAAAAAAGGAAAAGCTTCCTTCTTCCACATTTCTTGGGGTCTAGATAACTACCGATGTAGTCAAGCTGACAACCTAGAATAGCCACCACAGCTACGATGGAAACAGGTATGGAAGTGATAAGGCCCTGACCTCCATGCACATGACTTCCGATGTAGTCAAGCTGACAACCTAGAATAGCCACCACAGCTACGATGGAAACAGGTATGGAAGTGATAAGGCCCTGACCTCCATGCACATGACTTCCGATGTAGTCAAGCTGACAACCTAGAATAGCCACCACAGCTACGATGGAAACAGGTATGGAAGTGATAAGGCCCTGACCTCCATGCACATGACTTACTGTGACTGCTCAAGATATAAGAATCCAGCAATGCAATCGTGGCTATTAAGGCATGTTACCATCACACTAATGAGACACGGGGGAAATGCAGTGTTGACTTTGGAAATGGAGTCAACAAGTTTGGAAACAAGAGACAAGGAGTGAAAGCCATTCCTGCAAAACAGTTCTGGTCTGTTCCTAGAGCAGCTGATGGTGCCTCCTCCCTGGCACCTCTCTCTCATACAGCAGCTCATGGTGCCTGCCTAGCTGTCATCTCCCTCCCACGGGAGTTCTTGCTTTGGACGGACATCATGCCTGCTAGTCAAGGCACGAGTCAGGAATGCAACGCCACTGCCCTTTTGCAGATGATCAAGCCACAACCTTTCTGCTCTTAGGTGTTACATGTGATCTACTTTTATCCAGAAGGAAATCCTGCCATTTGGAAGTTGATTTAGGAACACTGCTCAATTTAGGACCATTACACCATCTCCAGAGTTCCCACAGGAATTAGTTCCCCTACAGGTAACATGTTATAAAAAGAGTAGTCCCTTTCCCCTGAGTCTCCAACTTCCTCTCACCATGTGATTCTCTCTCCCTCCCACATGCACGCTTACCATGAAGATATTCGCAGTTCTGTGTGACACAGCTGGAGAACCCTCATCAGTGACAGAACAGGCAAGGCTACCCCATCTTGGACATTCAGCCTCCAAAACGAAAAACTACGTAAGCTTTTTAAAATCTACATTACCCAGTCTCAGGTGTTTCAGACTGCAACACAGAACCTCGGTGCTTAGGTAAAGAGGAAGGTATTTCCCTGCCCTGAGTGCTTCATTCTTGAGCACACAGTCATAGGCCCTTTTGTGTAAGACTGGAAATACTCATCACCAAGTGCAATGACTTTCTTCCCGGAAACCCAGCTCCTCCAGGAATCTCTTGGGTTCTGGTCAAATAGCTGGCCCAAGCCTGAAAACCATTCAGAGCTCCCCGTGCCCTCACAATGAAGGCCCTGATGCAATCCTGGGGTTTTTCTGCCTTTTGGCTGCAGCACATAATTCCCCTTCAAAACTGTCAGGGAAACCCTGTCGTTTCTACTCTTAGCTTTAAGTTGGAGTTTACTAACCAGCAACCTTTTCTTCTCTTCTTTTCAAGCACTCTCTTCCTCTGAAATGCTAGCCTAGTTACCATCTGTGACATTTTGTCCATGCCTGGGGCAATCAGGGCTCCATCTGGCATGAGATGGGAGCTTGACTACCAGCTGACTGATGGGCCTCCCCTTTTAATTCCTGTTTCAGAATCCGCTTTGGCATCCCACTGCTGGCACCAATGGCTACTGGTCAAGTTTGACAAGAAAAAGACTTGGAGATAGAGAGTGAAGGGGCTTTGAGAGGTCACGGGAGAGTTGTGAGTGTTCTCAGGATGCCTCACTGGGAGCTCAGAGGCTGAGCTGTCCTGAAAGACATGTCCTAGAGCAGTGGTTCTCAGCCTTTAGGTCACCACCCCTTTAGGGGTCAAATGACCTTTTCACAGGGGCCATATATCAGATAGCCTACATACCAGCTATTTATATTACGATTCATAACAGCATAATTACAGTTACAGTTACAGTAGCAACAAAATAATTTTATGGTGGGGGTCACCACAACATGAGGAACTGTATTAAAGGGCCACAGTCTTAGGAAGCTGAGAACCACTATCCTAGACACAGGGTTGCCAGACCCTTGCACCTCTCTACCCAACATTCTCTAGGTGCAGACTGCCACTGGGGAGAACGTAAGACCTGGAGTGGATGAGATACTCCCTTAAGACCCAAGGACAGAACTATTCTTGGAGAGTCACATTCTGGAATGGTCAGTGGGCAGCATCCCTGGACCCTGGGCCATGAGCACCTTGATCTTGAGGAGACATTCAGGTAACAGATCACAGCATCTGCTCCAGCATGTTAGGCAAAGAATTTGTACACGATTACACATCATAAGACAAAATTTCACTTGAAATCAAAGTCAGAGAGATAAGGAAATAACCCAAACCACATTTAGCACCCAAAATTTGCCCCAAACTGTTAGACATCCATTAAGTATAAGTCTCAAACTTGACTCAGGCTTTTAGAGAAAGAAGGGAAACATAATGTTTAGCAAGAGTTAAGGAATTCATAAGTCTCCTCTCTGTCTCTGTCTCTTTGTCTCTCTGTCTCCTCTTCTGTGTTTCTGCATCTGTCTCTCACTCTTTCTCTCCTTCTCCGCCCCTCCCCTCTGCCCTCTCTCACCCCTCCCTCTGGGCCCCATACCCAGTACCAAGCTGAGTGTCTTCCCCCCTGCAGCCTGACAGAATGTGTGGGCTTTGCTTCATGAGGTAGACAACAGCATCACCATCACACATGGTCACCATGAATGTGTGCACTTCTCAGCAGCCTCTCAGAGCTCACCTTGAAGCTTGCTCCAGGCCCAGCTCCCAAGACTAGCAACTACATCAGCTGAAGAACAGTCCACACCTCTATGTTCAAAAAACCAATGGCATAGGAAACACAAAAGACCAACTGCCTACAGACACTTCCCAGGCAACCTCATCTTCTTCCTTCCACCTCACAGAGACAAGTATATGAAAACATTTTCAGAGCACCTGTCTATCTGCGGGGAAGGTTTTAAAAAGTGGGCCCACTAATTGCAATAACCTACTGCAGTTTTGAAACATTTGTTCAACCGTCTTTGAAGACAAAAAGCAAATCGTTTTCCTTTGGTGAAAAAGCTGGTGATAAATTGAGATTTCTCGTGCCCCATAGAAAATGCCTTTTTGTTTTATTTCCAAATCTCTCCCTCTTGACATTCAGGGAGACATATTTATGAAGAAAGCAAAACAGATGATCTGGCCGCATTGCTGAAAGAGGGCTGCATCTGTCTGCAAGCACCGCAAGCCACTTAGCCACAATAAATCTTCCCAGCTCAGAGACATTAGCATGCCAGGATTCTGAGCCTGCTCCCCAAAGAACTCATTCCCATTACTTGCCTTGGATACTCAGCAGGCCCCCAGCATCCCACAAACCCTGTGTTCTGTTTCTGTTCCTCTTGGCCTCACCTGTTTATTGTAGTTCTTCCCTCGGGATGTCAACGTACCCAGAATCCCTTCAAAGTGGGGAGGTCAAGTTCCTTCTCCTCCAGCATTATTCTCCCCCATCTTTTTCAGATCTTCAAGTTCACATACTTCGTTCTCTTTTGAAGGACTCTGGCCTCCCTCAGGAGTGGAAGGATAAATGGTGGGATTTAAAATGCGTTCTGCTCATCTGCCTTCCCTAATGTGGCATTACACGAACATCCCTGGGGACCAGCTGAGACACTGCTATGGTCAGTGTGCACTCTCTGAGAGGCAGCACCAAGGCCTGCTTGCTTATTAAGTCAGCCAAAGTGTCACCCTCCAGCCGACGGTCTTCTAGAGCCAGATGAGGCAGAAAGCAGTGTTAAATGAGACAGCCCAAGGGTCACCAGCAAGCTTTCTAGGGGGAGGAAGTGGGAGGCCAGAAGGAATGAGGGTATTGTCACAAAGTCAAATTCAAGTTGTCTTCATGGAATTCGTCTTTCTAGGCTGTTGAAACAGACAACAATGACTTCCCTTCCAAGACGTTGAAAGGACAAATGAAATGCTGTCTTCTTGGTTTGGTTCCCATTTTAGCAGGCCAGGAGACAACCATTCAAGCACAGGTATTTTATTTGGAGGGTAATCAGTACTCATTGGCTATGGTTGCCAAAATGAAGCACCACAGACTGTGTGGTTTATTCCCAAACTTTACTGTCTCACAGTTCTGGGGGTGCAGATGTCTAAGGTATCAGAGGCATCAGTATGGCTGGTGTCTTCCCATGCCTTTTACCCAGGCTTAGAGATCACTGGCTTACCCCGTGTCTTGACTCATCCTTGAAAGTGGCCAACAGGATGTTCACAGGGAGGAACCTGGAGACTTGGTGGCTCTTTGTGGGGAATGGCGGGTCACTATCAGCACTAATCACAGGTGCCTTAGACAGTATCTGCCTGGGGCATCAGGACAGCACTAGACAGTGCTCCTGAAGGGCCAGGTGTTGCTGGCACATTTTCTCAGTCAGTTCTCCTTGGATTTGTGTTTTGAGGCAGGATAAAGAGACAAGGAGAGTTATGGGGATCTCCATGTGGGTCACCCTGTGAAGTCCCTTTATTGGCTCTTGGACAAGGCAGCAATAAGCTGTTCTTCTTGCCCCTTCCTCTATCTCAGTCAACATGCTCATGGACACCCTCCACCTACCCTAGAGGGACTTCACTTCCCCATCACATGATTGACCACACTGGCAGTTTCATCACCTATGATGATAAATATTGTCAACCTAACCGGATCTAGAATTACCCAGGGACAAATCTCTGGCATATCTATAAGGGGGTTTCTTAAGTAGATTGACTGAGGGGGAAAATCCATCATAACCCCATGATCTGGAGTTGAAGACTAATAAAAAGCCAGAAGTGAGCTGAGCATAAGCATTCATCACCCTCTGTGACCTGCCTGTGGATGCAATGTAGTCCCCTGTCCCTGCTGCCATGGCCTCTCCACCATGATGGGCAGACTTACAACCTGTCAAACTGTAAGCCAAAACAAAGCTTTCCTCTGTTAAGTTGCTTTTGGTCTGGCATTTGATAACAGAAATGAGAAAAATAATCAACACAATTACCAAAACCATTATTATACTTAGCCCTGAAACTCAACCTACCACTCCAGTCAGGAGACAGGGATTTCAGGACAGATCAGAAGATGGTGAGAGGGTGGATAGCTTCAGCACAGGAGGAAACCGTTTCTAAAAAGAACTGTGAGGCAGTGACGTGGGAGCAACTGTAAATGTGTAACAGGGAACCAAGGAAGGGCTAAAGTCCAAATTCAAGACGCCGTGGAAACTGCCTGGGTGATGGAAAAATTCATCCGGGTGCCCAAGCTGGAGCTGACCTACAAAAACTGGGTGAGCACAAGCATCACTCTAGGATGCAGGCAGGCTGACCAGTGAGCACACAAGAGCCAAGAGTGTCTGGGACCCTCACAGGGAGGCTACACAAAGCCTGCTAGGAAATGGGTATGTCTGATCCAGGTCAGTGGGCCTGCCTAGGCTGGGAAGTTGCAATAGTATCTGGCCCTCTGGACACAGGGCTAGGCCACCAATCACCAAATACCCAAAACACACACACACACACACACACACACACACACACACACACACACACACTCACATTCTGACTAATGCAGGAGCCGGGGGTTGGGGCGGGGGGGGGGGGCATAGTATCAATGTGGTGATAGAGCCAGAAAGAGATGACCCAGCAGTTTCAAGAACTTCCAGGGCCCTATAATGAACATGGAACTCACTATAGAAGGTGGTCATTCACATCCACAGTTAAGTTAATATAAGCCTAAGAACACCATAGTCAGGAAACTGAGAGGATTCAGGTAACAGTATTTTAAAGCTGACCACTCTAACATGCCAGGTTTTCCATCATGAAACTAAGCGAATACTGGAGTTTAGTTGCTGTCTGTCACTTAGAAACATCCATGAGCAGAGACACAAATCAGATCTTTCACATTTCTGGGACAGGGGATTAACACCCTGAAACTCTCTTCCATCTCTCCCCAGGCTGTAGATTGTCTGAGGAGGAGGGGGCAGGGAAAAGAGTCAATCAGTTCAAAGCTCAGTCTTGCCCCCTCTGGTCAGGTGGTCAGCCATGCTTTTGAGACATGTGACATCTGTGAGTCCCTTGTTGTCACCCTCCTCCTCCTTTTCTCGTTCAGTAGCTGTCTGGCTTTGGGTAGTCCATGAAATCTAAATTCAAGTTTATTTCTGCTGGTGTCACCCTTGTTGATATCCCTCCAGGGGTATCCAGGCTGTAAAGGGAAATCCACTGAGAACAAACAGATCAATAATCCTGTGTCCATGCTAACCTGGCAATAACAGACACGCACAGATTCCTTTTCCAAAACAGGGTACAAGAGTGTCATTACAATATAGGATATGAAATTACCACCATCTGTCCCTTCTGCCCCCTGCTAAAGCCATAGAGCCCCACAGTCCAAGTATAGTCAGTCTATGGTGAAGGGGGTGTGATATCATAGTCAATGTCTCTTCAAGGAGGGCTTGACTTAACACAAGTTCTTCAATGGCTCTACCAAATGTAGAAGTCTATGGTCTGTGCATGGAGTTGAAGAGAAAAAACTAGAAATCTGAGTTTTCTCTAACATCACCTCTCTCTATTCCAGTTCCTATATGTCTCTCTGTCTCTGTCTCTCTCTTTTCTGCACCACTTCCTCCATGTTTCAAATAAACCAGGAATGGAATTCTGAGCTGGGAGTTTGGGTATCTGATTTCTCTAGGCCATATTCAAGAGACTCCCGAGCCAGGTCTTTATTTGAAATGCAGATCAGGCTCCAAGAGCTGGGTGGCTGGAGCCCAAAGAAACATAAAACTGGAGAATGACATAAAACACAGAGGACAGGCTGTGGGGTGGTTCTGATTTGCAAATCCAAGTACCTGGGGTATTTGGTTAGGTTTAGTATGGCTTAGGGTTTTTGTTTTTGTTTTTTCCTTTTCCCTCACAGTTACAAGATGGTTACAAGAGACTCATGTACTGGAGTACATGTTGCTCAAAAAAGACAGGAAAATAAAACCTTTCGTTGTCATTTGTTTAGAAGAAGATCTCTTCCCAGAATCTCACTGAGTTTTCATGACATCAGCTATTGCTGGGAAGGATCACATTCAGCCCTATCTCTGGACAAGAATGTGGCACCATTGTCACAACTGGAGTGACGGTGACTCATGACCGGACTTTGGCACAATGACTCATGTGTGTCTATTAGTAAAAATGATTGGCTGATAAGAGGCAGTAAACAGAGTGCAATACTCAGCAAACTTCTTTCTCTCGTCTCTAGGCTATCATCGTGTTAGGAGAAAATTCAGTATGGGAAGCAAAGGTCACATTCCAAGTGCAAAGCAACTAACTGCATGAAAAACTAGTGTTGGAAAAGAAGCATTCCTAAGTGCCCCACTGGAGGACCTAACAGGTCACAAAGAGCAGCCCAAAGAAGGGTTATTCCCTGAGAGCCTTTATCAATACCCTAAAAAAGTCATTATCAAATCTCTGGTAACTTCCAGTGATTGCCAGTGAGACAGAGAAGTGGAAAAGAACAGTCTACACAGGAGCTCCTGAGGCACCTCTGGTATTTTGACTACTCATAATTCCTCTATTTATTAATGCATACATCACAAATGCTTATAATATCAGTGCATTGTGTTGAAGTGCTAGACAAGACAGAGGAGGTTGTTTTGAGGTGAGTGTACGTGTGTATGGGGGTGTACATGTATGGAGGTGTGGAGGCCAGAAGTCAAGCTAGGCTGTTATTCCGCACACTATCCATCTTGTTTGTTGAGGCTGGGTTTCTCACTGACCTGTAACTCGAAAACTAGGCTATGTGGGCCAGCTAGTAAGTGTGAGAGATCCACTTGTGTCACTAGCCTGTGGCTTGCAAACTAGGCTGTGTGAGCCAGCTAGTAAGTGTGAGAGATCCACCTGTGTCTACCTCCCCAGCACCGGAATAGTAAGTGAAAGCCATTGCAGCCAGCTTTCACCCAGGTTCTGAGGCTACAATTCAGATCCTTATAGTTGCACAGCTAACACTACCAACTGAGTCAACCCTGAGGCCCCAGAAGCATTGTTTTTAAAGATCTTTTCAAAACATTGACTTTTGTTTCCCTTTCACACCCATTTTCAAGTTGATCTGAGACCCTCAAAGTCTATAATGTCAATCAATAAAAAAATACAGAGAATGAAAAGTAAAGAAACAACAGCAATTAGTTGGTGGAAAAAACACCAGAGTTGGCATCATTACCTTCAAAGGAAGAAACAACACAGCCTTGGAACAGGGTTGTGCAGGCTTCTACTGCATGGCCAACATCCAGTAAGCTGTCTCTACATACCCAAGTGTGGAACTAGGTAGCGAGAACTTGCATATTGGGGGAATTATTAAGGCAACTCCACGTAGTTAAAAAGGTCTATTTGGGGATAACTTACAGTCAGTAAAGGGGTTGGTTGGTTACAGGATTCAGAAGTGAGGTGCAGTCCAGCTGGGTTCTCTGGAGAACTTCACTCGGTCTACCATCCAACATCCAGGATCACCAGGAACCAAGAGAGCCGGCACATCTGGATCTTGGGTCTTAAGGGCTCCCATCTTGGCCCAACCTCAGGGGCAGGTCATAGGTAGGCATGGCAGTCACCGGAAGCCTCATTAGGCGTACTAGTTCTAGGTCAAAGCTGGATCAGCTACCCACTACATCCCCCCCTTTTGTCTAAATAAAGTTCTAACCTAATACAAAACTGTATACAATAGAAATGATTATCAAATATTGTCCAGGAGGATTAAGGGATAATGGCCTAGACAAGATGGAACTACAACCAACACGAACAATATCAAACAAGAGACACACAGTGAAATACTAAAATCCAGAGAAGTCTGGAGCATAGGTAAATGGCATGTTGCAAAGATTATTCCAAAAGGTGTCCTATCCTATAGAACCTAAATCTAATATGTAATATGTTCTAGCTAAGATACAAGAAGATTGTAACTATAACTGTTAGTCTTCAATCCCATCAAAGACCTGAGAAGGAATATAATAATACCCGAGAAACAGGAGAAGGATGCAAACAACTTTCGGGAGTCTTGAGAGAGTAGACGGAGAGAGCTGGCAGCCTGGACAGTCACCTAAGATTTCTCAGCATCATTGGTGCATTCAAATTGGCTACAGACCTTGAGTATCTGTCAGACCATTTTACTGTCAGCAGTCTAGGCAAGGGCAGTTCTTTGCCCAGTAGGCCATTTTATGCCAAGGTGAAGACAAACTTCCAAATGGAAATATCTCAGAAGCCCAGCATTCTCTCGGGATCATATCGGTGCTGCCAGGAGCAATCGTATCTCATGTCAACAAAATCCCAAGTTATCAAAACATTTAAATGCCATATTCTCTAGGTCTATGAAGTGTTTGAAGATTACCTATCCATCTGACATATGTTTCTGTAAGTCTGCACAACCTAACTAACATAACTATAGAGATGACAAGCATAGGTGACTATGAATCTGTAAGTCTTATCTACCCATATAACCTAAGGACTTAAACTTCACATAAACAGGGTAAACAGTCTGTAAGCAAATGTACAGTAAAAGGACAATGGCTTCAAAATTGTGACAATACACAATAAAGCTAAAGCAGAGGTAGGAATGTATAGTATAATATGCAATATGACAATAATCATAAATATGTATCAATATACCAAATATCCTAAAGATAAAGAGGCAGAACATGCATACAATATGACAAGTATAATTTTACATTTGTATCAATATACAAACATTTCAAATAAGAGTAGAAATATATGTACATTACAACAAATATGGTTCTATATTTGTATCAATATACAAATATCTGGAATAAGAATATAAAAATAATTTACATTTGCATCAATATACAAGAATCCATGACAATGCAATTTATCTAAGGCTGATATTTTACTAGATTAGTTTACTAATATATGCAATAATCTACATTAATATCCTATATCTATCCACTTGTACACTCAACAGTTTCCACCATAACACATGCTCTCTTCTCCCCATGAATACCTACTAATGTGTCTCTTCAGCTCTTCTAGGCAGCCTAAAGAAAGTAGGGAAACCCCCAGCAAAATGAAAACCAAAGCAAACAAGATTAAACCCAAAGAGCTGATAATGACCATCTGGTTATCTCTATAAAGGTGCATGCCATTTATGGATCATGACGAAGGGCTGACAGTCACTCATACTGCATGCAGGGCCACAGGAGGCCAGTGACGATGTGATAACCAGCCTCCCGAAATAAGTTGCATTTGGACCTAACACATGAGGAGGAGCTTGCATGCACAGGGCCATTGGGTGGCGTTCACCATGACTAGCTGCCACCAGGTACACTGTATAACACACCAGGGCTTCACGAGATGAACAGTCCACTTCATGTGAGCGCAGAGTTGGAGCAGAGATCAGGTAGGAGAGTCAGCAACTTGTATGGTGTGGGACCTGAGGAAGAGGGCAGCAAGAGCAGGGCACATGAGCTCTGTGTGCTCATGTTCTTTGCAAGTCTTTCAGAGGATGGAGTAGTTCTTCTCTGAAACAGGCTTCTTACTCTATCGCCGTTGGAAAACTTTTCACATCATCTCATACTGATGGGCTATGATGTACCGGGACAGACAACAGGATAGCCTTATGCCAATCAACTGGTAGAATGTGGCTGCAAAGAGCAGTCCAATAACGACCCCCATGTTTCTCTCTAAGAAACTCCTCATCAGATTATAGCAGCCCCTCTGGTTAACTTTGGTCGCAGCTATGGTCAGGTTGTGTAGATCCTGAGGGTTACAATCACTTGGATCCTTACAGCAACTGTGGGGGATGCCATGGTCCAGGAAGTAAGGGCTTGTTTTCCAGTCGGTGTAGTTCTTCACCCCACAGCAGATCAGACTATGCTGCACCTGGTCCACCGCCTTGCTCTTCTCATCTTTGCCATTATAATTCTGCACACCATCGGTGTAAATCTTCAGGAAGCTGTCCTTGATCTCACGGTGAAATAGAGGTGCTGAAATGCTAGCAGCAAGCTCAGCCAGGAACACCAGCGACAGAAACAGGGAGTACAGCTTCAGCATCCACGGGATTCCTCGGCATGCAGCAAAGCATCCAAATAGACCAAAGCTAACAATCATAGTGCCAGTTCCAATGAGTAATGTGGGGACATCTATGGAGTTCCTGGCAATAAGAGATAAGTAGATGCCCAGAGTAAGCTTTCCCCAGACTCCAATAACCAACAAGATCACCCCGGTGATCCAAAAGATAAAGGAGTAGAAGAGGAGGAGGATTTTGAGACAGATTAGCACAAATTTGGTTTCCATTCTCCTCACTGCCACAAAGCTGTTCCCAGAGAGAGAAAGGGCAGTGTTGCCCAGCTGACCCTTCCTATACGATCCTTGCTGTAGGCTTGCTCAATTCTCCCGAGACTTCACTGACTTCTGCTAGTCTGATTGGCAAAGAAAGACTCCAGAGAATGAAGTTCTTGCTTCCTGTGTTTGGAGGACAGTAGATTGGCTTCATTCCTTCTGGGAGGTGGATACAGTGGAAGGCTGGATCTCCCCACTTCTTCCCCATTCGCCTTAATCCTCCACTCTCTGGCAATGAATTCCCTCCCTCTCCTGTTCCTGTCCCTCATTAGCACTGGTCATTGGAGTATCCCCTTCATTGCTGAAATACTGTTCTCTCCAGCCCTAGCCCACCCACAGGGTGAGGAATGGCACTGATGTCCCTTCCCCCCCCCCCCAAGAAGGATATTGGTGCTGGCCCTTCTCATTGTTCCGCCCAGACATGTCACAGATTGTCAAGCCATGGCCCTCTTGCAGCTAGCTAGCTATTTACATTGTGACCCAGGGTCCTTGCTCATAATGATGAACCCTGTGGCCACTGCATACGGGTACTGCCAGACACCAAGGAACAGAGAGAAAAGGCAAGGCTTTTGAAGGAAAGGAAAAGTCTGAGCTCTATGTCTCAGTCTTGACTCTTACATATTACAGATGGCTGAAAGTTTTTGTTATCGCTCTTTTATAGAAATGGAATCCATTCTCTTCTTTTAAATGTAGGCTGGTTTAAATGATTTGCTTGACCAATAGATCATGACAGACATGGCGATTTGGAAAGACAAGTCCCAAGAAGTCTTGTCAATTTTTGCAATCTCTATCCTGGAGGAGGCCAGCTCCATGACGAAGTCCAATTACCCTGGACTTCCATACTGTCAGGAAGCCCAAGCGATAGAAAGGAGGATGTCAGGTCCAACCAAGGGCAGGTGCAGAAAGTGAACTTGGAAATCCCATCCTAGTAAACATGACTTGAAAAACATGCAAGGGATCCGAAAGATAGCCAGCACTAAGCCACTACACAACTGATCTCAGCAACCCCTAGTCATGTGAACCAACTTAGCTAGAATTCAGTAGTTGTGGCACAGAGAATAACTGAATTCCTGACCCACAAACTCCTGAGCTGACAGAACAGCACATGTCATCCACAGCTAAGCTTTGGGTATGAATTTTGCTGCAGTGGATAAGTAGGCCAAGGAACATTGGGGAAATCCTCATCACTTTGGGACATTCATTTCCTTAAATACAAAGGGACCAAGGACTGTATCCTTGTTACTGCCATAACTTATTTCAAATGGCCCTCAGAAAAGAGCCCAATGCTTAATACAGAGTAGTAGGGACCTACCTGCTAATAATAAACTTATTCTAGACAGTTATGTATTATGCTCCTGCTGAAGCAGGAGGAAGGTAACTTAAGAACCGCTGAAAGTTGCTGATAAGGATTCTATGTTCCTAGTAAGAATTCTGAAGCCAAAAAGGATCATCCATGACTATCTACTGGGTTGCTGAGCACAAGCCTGGGTGAGATTCACCAGAATCTTCACTCAATTTTAAAAGCTGTCCCTGCTAAAAGTGGGATCATCTGTGTGACTTGAGGTCAGTGCCGATAACTGTGGAGGCATTCGAGGTAGGGAGGATAAGAGCACCCACAAAAACTGGCAACATCTATGACTTTGAATCCCACAGCATTGGATACTGTGATAGTTAATTTTGTTAGTTTTTCTGGGCTAGTTTTTTCAATATTTGTCCAAATATTAATCTAGGTGTTTCTGTGTAGATTTTAGATGAGACTAATGCTCAAAGAGATGAACTATGAGTATAGTGGATTACCTTCCAAAGTATGAGTGGGTGCTACACCATGGGCAAACCTCACCTAAGTAGGAGGAATTGGCACATGAGCTGGAACATCAACTCTTCCCTAAGTCTCCAGGCTATATATTTTAGGTTTACCAGTCCCCATGGATATCCAGCTCCAGGCAGGACTTGTGTTGTTTATAGATGAAATGTGTGTGCTCATGAACAACTCTCTGGCTTTAAGTCTTCTCCCACGGTAGTGGGCATTTAGAGACCCTCCCTTGCCATTTTCTTGTTTAATTGGAAAATTATGGAAGATCACCATTTTGCCCTTATAACACCACAAGCCAGATACAACAAGAAGTGACAAAGCTTGTTGGAGAGGCAAGAGAGCACAGAAAGAGCCTTTAGCTCCCTCATGAACTCTGCAAAGCCTGGAGAGTATGTACCGTGTTCTAGGCACTATGGCAGACACTAAGAACAGAGCAGCAGCTAAGCAAGGTTGCCCAGCTTCCTTGAATGTGCATTGAAGAAAGTACAGACTAAAAAAGAAAGGAAACAGAATTCCATAACAAAACAAAAATGGCCCAGTGCTGTGGGATGTTCTCTATGCTGTGAATGTTTGCTCTGATTGATTGATTGATTGATTGATTGATTGATTAAATGCTGATTGGCCAGTAGCCAGACAGGAATTATAGGATAGGCAGGACAAAGAGAGAGGAAAATGCTGGGGAGTGGAAGACTGAGGGAGGGAGAGGCGGCCAGCCACCATGATGAGAAGCAACATGTAAAGATACAGGTAAACCACGAGCCACATGGCAACTTATAGGTTAATAGAAATGGGTTAATTTAAGATATAAGAACAGTTAGCAAGAAGCCTGAGCCATTAGGCCATACAGTTTGTAAATAATATGAGTTTCTGTGTGTTTACTTGCGTCTGAGGGCCACTGGAGCTGGACAGGAACAGGATAACTTCAGCTACAACCTGGCCTATGATACATCAGGGGGTTCACTGGTGGGCTACTGTGGGACTTCTGGGGAGTTTAAATTTTCATTTGTAAATTTTTTGGTTGCAACATATGCTCTTCATGTAAATGAATGACTGAAGATGATCACAAAGCTTCCCACAGCCATGTATAAGCTAAAACAACAACGTCGGCTTCATGAGGAAATTCAGCACTCTTAGGGACTCCTGCTCCGGGGAAATAATTGTAGAAGTATTAGAGGGGTTAGTGGTATCTTATTAGCAGCCTATGATCAATAACTTATAGGACAGACACAACTAAATAGTTCAATATTGGCAGACAGAAATCACAAATTATTGCCATGTTGGGGGTTGTCAGCAGAACTAGCTTTTCCTATGGTCACATATGGAATCTGGGTCTGAGACACTCTACTGCTTTCTAGTTTCTCTTTTGTCTCTCTTGACCTTTATTGCTGTTCTCCCAAGTCCTAGAGTGAGCTGGATTCCTCTTCCTTTCTACCATACTTACAAAATGAGTTTAGCTACTGCCCAGGTGGGCATGCCCTCCACAGTGCAGCCCTGTAATATACTTGAATGTCCCAGGGCACATCAACCATTCAAGAAATCACTCTTCCATTGGCTCTTTCTTCCAGCCTGTATTTCTCATGGCCACACTTGCATTTCCAGTCAGCAGCCCAGAAAACTGGTGCTTTCCTCTTGTCTGCACTTCTAGCAGTCAGTTACTGAGTGTGGCAACCATATCTCCCCCAGCAGAGTCCTGTAATCCATTCCTTCTCGCCCTCCTCACTGCAGCTGCCTTGATTCAGCTCTTCAGTCTATGTGCTGCCAAAATCTCAGCCACAGATTCCTAGCTGATCTACTTCGTGTTTCCAGAGAAGAGATGTTCCAGCCTACTCATTTTTCCAGTTGTGCCTCCTCCATGATATGTACATGCCCTTCACTCCAGACAGGCCGCTCTGCCAGAGTGTGCCTGACCATGAGTGTGAGTGTGAGAGGTAAAACTTGGAGCAAATCTATGTCTTGGTGTTTTTATGTTCATAATACCCTGCTCTGTACCTGATATCCCCAAATGGTACAGAGTATATTGTTGAACGGATGGGTGGACTGCTGAGTTAATGGACCTAAAGACAAGAGTAGCCCATTTAATCTGGGGAGACCAGAGAAATCTTTGTGAAGTATGGGACATTTGTATTAGTCAGTAAGCACTGATATAAAAACACTTCAAGATGAGCGTGAGGGACTCATCTTTAATCCCAGGATGTGATAAGCAAAAGGATCTCTGGGCTTTTTGAGGCTATCCTAGTTTACACAGTGAGTTCCAGACAGGGCTACCTAGTGAAACCCTGTGAAAACAAAACCACTTCACTTAGTGTGAATATCATGTGGAAAGGTGTGGAGGCCCCCGAAGCTCAGCCTGTTCTCAAACTAAAAGCTTTCTGTAGTGTGGTAGGCAGATGGAGCTGGAGGGAACGATGCAAGAAGAGGCAGCCTGTGTGAGCTCTCTCCCAGTAGGTGAGGGATGCAATCTCAGGAGCTAGTATGGATCAGTCAAATAATGAGGAAGTGGGCTGACAATAACCAACTTAGGGTTGCTGCCCTGAATAAAATCTTCCAGGATCCATATTACAAGTGAATATTGACCTGAGAAGATAAAAAATGTCCACAGGTCAGAGTCTAACTTCAGGGCACCAGTTTGGGTAATAAGACACGCTGAAGATATCTCGTACAGTGGACTAGTGTGGTCTCGTCTGGGTTCCAGGAGGTCCACTCTGGCAAAGGTTTCTAAGGCAGAAGCAGAATAAGACGGGGTTAAAGGAAGAGAAGGCAGATGAAGGGAGGTGTTGAGATAGCCAGGTAAAAAGTCTGAGCCAGGACAGTGGCAAAGGACATGAACAGAAGGGCAAGGAAGATCTTACAGCCACTTGTAATTAGGAGGTACTGATGGCGGGAAGTGAAATGTGGGTCTCTCGCTATGACGTCAATCATGACTTAATGGTACATCCTCTGAGGAAGTCGGCGGCGGAATGAATATGAGTGTCAAAAGCATTAAAATCTTTAGTCATTTATTCAGCTCAACCTTTACAAAACATGTTGTCTTCATTCTTAATTTATTTTCCTTTCATTATTTGAGAGAGTCTCTTTTTGTAGCCCATGCTAGCCTCAAACTTGCCTTCTTCCTCAGCCTTCCCAATGCTGAAACCACAGGCATACATTACCATGACTGGCTCATATGTTAACTTTCATTCTTCCACCTGCAAAAGAAACTGATATGTCCTTTGGGGGTTATAGTATAACCAACTTTCTTCTCTAGTTTCTAGTTTGTCTTACCTAGTCATTGTTTGCCTATATGAGGCATTTCATTAGTCATCCATTTCTCAACCCAGAGATGCAAGATACATTTTAGTTAGGTGACTGACGTGGTGGTACTGAAAAATCGAAGGAAGAAGTTCCTCCTTATTAGCATTCATTATAGCCAGCAACCTCACATTCCTTACCTGTTGGGTATTACTGGGTTGTTTTAAGTCCATCAGCCTGCTTGCATCACTCTTTAGTCACTTTCTGTAAGACACAGCTCATTCTTGTCATTTCACATAATTTCTACTAATAGCAACAAACACCCATGCTAACAAAGACATTCTGTGTGTTAAAGGCAGTGAGCACTGGAGTTCGAGGCCCACAGATCTAGATAGGAGAAGTACTAACCAAGGGACAATGCTCTAGACTTACCTTCGCAGGACCCCCAACCAGTCGTAGATGAGTCCACAATGGGAGGGGCACCCATTTGCTTGTTATTGTGGGTGACCTTGCTGCTCTGAGATATAAGCTGGATGTCCTCCTAGAAGAAAAAAATCAAGGGAACTGTAGCATATGCTGTGCATCTACCATTGGCACTCACTGCTTGGTGTGTCCAGTGATTCTTATTATGAGCACCTACAGTTTTTACTTTCTGAGCTCTCTTCCCAATTAAACAATTTTCACCCAAAAATAAAGAATAGAATTCATAAAGAACGTTCTGTAGACTTTAGATCACCTTGTACCATCCAATCTTTGCCTTCTCAATATCTTTAAGATATTCTTCTTTAGTAACCTACTGTTTCTGATTTCAGGACCATGTCCTTTCCCACGGTGACAGACATAAATCCCTAGCTTATCTACCTCTCCTCTCCAGTGGACACTTTAACCCTTACCTACTCCATCTATTGCTGGAGCTTTTAAATATTGACATTTCACTGGTTTCATCTTTCTAAATTTTTCTCATTGATGATGGGAAGACTTTAAGCCTCCCTTGCCTGGCTTAAAAGCTCACATTGAACTGGCCCCCACATCCTCCAAATTCAACCTTTGTATTCAAATGCAGAGGTTTATAGTTAGATGGCCTCTGTTGAGCCCTTGTTTTCCCTGCTGATGCTTTCTCATGATCCCACTGGTAATTATCTACAAACAACCACAGGAACAAGCTAGCCTTCTCTACTGCTGCTGTCCTAAGCTTTGCCTGTCTCTGGGTGTCCATGTAGGTTCATGCGATGCCGAGCATTTCTTTGATCTTCTGTTGTTAAACCTGGAGCAGGATTCAGCTCCAAATGTTCAGTTCCAAGATGCTAGAATGCTGCCATGCATGATATTTGAAGGGACATCACAAGGCAAATGTTTCTCAACAGGGGGCAAGGTTCAAAGGGACAGGATGTCAAGACTTCACTGATGAGGACTAATGAAGAAGTAAAAGTAGAAGAAAACTGACCTTGGGAAAGCTATAATCTGAAATTTTTCCTTGACACAATACTCCTCCTGGGCCAACCAATTTTGAAGAAAAAGGAGTCAAATCCCTCAATGAGTTATTATGATAAACCAATTAAATGTGAACATTCTCATTCTCTGCCCCTCTCTCTTCATGTACATATGACACTGTTCATGTTGGTACTACCTGAACCTCCGGTAGAAGGACATCTGATCCCAGACAACTTATCTTTTCCTGGTAGCCATGTAAAATGGCAAGGAATGTACACTGTGTTCTGCAGAGACTGAAATGTTTGTCTCAAAGGGATGATCCAATGCATTATTATTTTACTTTAGACATTATTGGCAACAAATAGGAAACGTGAGAAGTGGCGTGACTTTTATCCGGGTAAACCATTGAACTTTGATCTTTTTATGGTAATGGACTATGGAACTTTTATCTGTTTTGTCTCTGAGAACAAACAGAAATGTCTGAACAACACATAAATACAAGATGTCTTCTTAAAGACACCAGACAGCTAAAAGTAGTGAGGAGTGGGACAACATAGAAACCCAGAGAAATGGGTCAAACCCAGAGAAGTAGGTCAACATGTAGAACTACTTCTTTTTGTCCCTGGATCCAAGGAGGTAAGCAAGAAGGTATCTACTAATTTTCTTTAGATTAAGAAGTTGAAAATTGGATATTAATGGGTAGGGGAGAGTAATGTGACCCCTACTTTACCACGTATACAAAATACTCTAAATGTAATATGGATTTAAATATGAAAAACAGCACAGTAATTAATCTTAATGACTTCTTGATAGATAAATGTTTCTTAAAATACATAAAAGGCACTAGTCATTAAGGATAAGGTTATTATTCACCTGCATAAAAATCAAGAACTTCTTTTCAACAAGAGACATCATTACACAGTGAAGATAAAAAGCAAGGAAAAAAATTTAAAGTTCAGAGAGCCTGTGTCCACAATGCACAATAAACCAATCTAACTAAAGAAAGATAGTCAGGCAAGTAGGTAAACAGAGGTACAACAACAGGAAACCCCAACTGGACAATAAACAAATAAAAATGTACTGAATCTCATGAATAATCAACGAAGCACAAGTAAAGTTATAAGAACACTCCAGTCACCTCACCAAGTGATTAAATGGAAGACTGGGGTTACAATGTGCTGGAAGAAACACCCCAGGGTGTCCTCTGGCCTCCACATGCATGCACAATTGGAGAGAAAGAGACACAGAGAGGCAGAGAGAGACAGAGGTAAAGAGATTATATATATATATATGTGTGTGTGTGTGTGTGTGTGTGTGTGTGTATCCATTAGTTACAATGACTTCAATTCCTGAAGATAGATTATCTTTAAGGATTGACAGGAATTAGTTTATGATCTTAAAATAGATGCAAAGAAAGAATTTGCTATTCATTCTACCTTTTCTTAACTAATAACTGAGTAACAAGTCAAAGAAATCCAATTAAAAACTCTCAAAGAAGTCACAAACTTAGAATATCACTATTTTGCAGTCTTCTCTTAGGTAATAAACCTAGACATTACATATCAGTAGCTGTAAATGTCACAAAAGATGAGACAACTAGGAGTTACAGGTCTCTTAAAAAGCCTTTTTTAAATTTTTCTTACTTATGACCCCTTTGGGCCTGAAATTTTTTTTTTTACAAACATTAAGAATAGAGGTAAGGACATAGTAAATAAGACAAAATGACAGCCTACAGAATGGGAACATATTTTTACCAACCCCACATCTGACAGAGGGCTGATATCCAAAATATATAAAGAACTCAAGAAACTAGATATCAAAATAATGAACAATCCAGTTTTTAAAAAATGGGCTATATAGCTAAACATAGAATTCTCAAAGGAAGAATTTCAAATGGCCAAAAGACATTTAAGGAATTGCTCAGTCATCAGGGAAATGCAAATCAAAATGACTCTGAGATAACATCTTACACCTGCCAGAATGGCAAAGATCAAAAGCACTGAAGACAGATTATGTTGGAAAGGATGTGGAGCAAGAGGAACACTCCTCCATTGTTGGTGGGAGTGCAAACTTGTACAGCCACTTTGGAAATCAGTGTGGCGGTTTCTCAGAAAATTGGGAATCAATCTACCTCAAGACCCAGCTATACCACTCTTGGGCATATACCCAAGGAATGCTCAATCACACCACAGGGACACATCCTCGACTATGTTCATAGCAGCATTATTTGTAATAGCCAGAACCTGGAAACAACCTAAATGCCCCTCAACTGAAGAATGGATAAAGAAAATGTGGTACATATACACAATGGAGTACTACTCAACAGAGAAAAACAATGACACCATGAAATTTGCAGGCAGATGGGGGGAACTAGAAAATACCATCCTGAGTGAGGTAACACAGACTCAGAAGGACAAACATGGTATGTACCCACTCATAAGTGGATACTAGAAGTAAAGCAAAGGATAACCAGACAACAACCCACAATTCCAGAGAAGCTAGCTTACAAGGAAGACCCAAGGAGGGATACATAAATCACCCTGGGAAGGGGAAATAGATAAGATCTCCATGAACAAAATGGGGGTGAGGAGTGAGCAATGGAGAGTAAGGCATGGGGGATGAGAACATAAGGGAATGGGATGGTCAAGCAGGAACAGGGATGGAGTGGGAAAGCAATGAGAAAGATACCATGATGGAGGAAGATATGGGGATAGAGAGAAGCCCAGTGCTAGGGAAGTTGAAAGGAATCCCCAAGGATGACCCCAGCCTGGACTACTAGAAATAGTGGAGAGGGTGCCTGAACTGAACTGGCTTGCCCCAATGATCAGATCGGTGAATACACTAACTGTCATCACAGAGCTTTTCTCCAATGACTGATGGAGGCAGATGCAGAGATCCACAGCCAAACACCAGGCAGAGCTCTAGGAGTCCAGTAGAAGAGAGAGGAGGGATTCTATGAGCAAGTGCATCAGGATCATAGTGAGGAAACCTGCAGAGACGACCAAACCAAACTAGTGGGAACTCATGAAAGATGGATCTATGGCTGTGGAGCCCACATGGGACTAGACTAGGCCCTCTGCATGGTAAGACAATTGTGTAGCTTGATTTGCTTGGGGATGCCCCCTGGCGGTAGGATCAGAATCCATCCCTGATGCATGAGCGGGCTTTTTAGAGCCCACTACCTATGATGGGACACCTGCTGCAGCCTTGAGGTGGGGGAAGGACTTGGACTTGCCTCTACTGGATGTGCCTCCCCCTGGGAGGCCTTGCCTTCTTGTCGGGGGTGGGGAGGGAGGATGGAGGGTGGGTTGTGGGGGAAGGCTCGGGGGCAGGAGGAGGGAAGAGGGGGATCTCTGATTGGTATGTAAAATGAAAAAGATTTCTTAATTAAAAAAACCCAAAGTGAATCACAAAAAAAAAGAATAGAGGTATATAAAATAGATACACATAGTAAGTATTTACTGATAATAAACCAAAAAAATTAAACTTTTTGGTGTGTGTATACATTTACTATTTATAGAATATTAAAGGAAATTGGCACACTAATGAGATGGATATGCTTGTTTGCCTAACACAACACAATCACATGTACTAATTTGATACATGCTGAGGAGTAACTGCAGGGTAACATTAAAAATTTTTTGTTTTCCATAATTAAACCATAATAATACAATACAATAAAAGCACTGTAATTCATAAAATACAATAGTCTTGAGTCTAAGCAAAAGTGTTTCAGGTGGTTTTTGTTTTTGGAGGCTTTTTTTTTTTTTTGGTGTTTCACAGTATGGTGACATTCACAGTGCAAAGTGCACACGTTGTGTTTTCAGAACCTAGGCTACAGTGAGAGTGCAGGTACAACACAGGCAAGCGTGACTGGAATACATTATGTGTTGGGATTGGATCCATTTTTGTTCATTGTGGACTCGGAAACCTTTTACTGTCTGCATTTTTTTTTTTTTTTTGCAAACTCCATATTTAGTTGCAGGGACCCCATGTGAGGTTATGGCCCAAAGTTCAAGAATCTTGGTGTGGAATTTGAAGGTAACCCGATTGCTGAAGACACAAGGACTTCAAGGTCCAATCTGAAGTGGACACAAGACTTCAAA